TCCGAGGAGTGGTCCGTCAACCCGTGGACAAAAATCCACTAAACGTCGTATGATCCATTCCGGGTCAGTTCACGAGGCCCTTTTATTTTCGGGTCTAACATCTTTTGTCCATAACCGTCTCACAGCGGGCGAGTTGGGTTTGGCTCGGGAGTTTTAGCCTGTTTTGACAGCTCTACATAGAAACACGAGTCGGGAGTAGAGAGTGGTGGTCGGTCAGTTAGATATATAACTTTAGACAATAAGAAAGCACGAGAATCTCTAATCTAATCCAAATAGTGATTAGGGGACAATAAGCACATAATCCGATCTTGAGTACTGTGTTTGTGGAACAACCTCTACCTGTCTGTCTTATATCTTTTTAGTTTAGTTTAGTTTAATCAATTTGTCCAAATGATTGTGTAATCATCAATATAGCTATCTGTCTCTTTCTTTCTTCTCGAAAATGATGCTTCAAAAACTTACTGGGGAAATAATTAAGATCTCTAAGAATTTGGTGAATTACGCACATCCAAAGATATTGTTATATCTAAAACATATGAAACCAAATATTGAAATGGTAACTAGGATTATATACACACATATGTTTTTGTTAAAGGGCTTTCAATAATTAAATATAATTATATATTTTAAAAGAAAAATTGAACAGAAGAATTATACAGTAAAACCTCTATAAATTAATAATATCGGGACCATGATATTTTATTAATTTATAGTGATATTAATTTATCTATAAATTAATAAGTATTAATTTATAGAAATTTTTGTTTCTATTGTGAAAACTTTTTTAAAAAATACGAGATAAAGCAATGTGATCTAAATAAAATTAATGTTTTGGATGTTATAAGTTTTATAGTTTTAGACTTAATCACTTAATATTTCGAAAGAAAATAATTTCTTTTGACAATGAGTAACAACGCTTATTGAATTCACATATACAAACGATATACAAATTAAAATTCACAAATAGTGATATCCATTGTGTTTTAAAAACCTATACGACTATTAAAACGAAAATTATGCATATTCAAAATTTGAAAAGTTACAACAACTTTTGGCTATTTTTATGAAAAACACTAAAACTATTAATATATATATATATATATGTGTGTGCAAATTTACATGGTTATTAATTTATGATATTATTGGGACTATATTTTTACATAGGGATTTCAAAAAATTTATTATTTTATTAGCTTATCGAATTTTGTTAATTTTTACATTGATCCGGCTCAGAACCGGGAAAATTTATTAATTTATCGTGTTTATTAATTTATCGAGTATTAATTTATAGAGGTTCTACTGTATTTCTTTCGTGCATGATTTTTCACTATATGCATCTGATGGGCGGTTTTGTTAGATTATTGGAGATAGTCATCCACCAAAAGTAAAAAAAATATTACATGTATGAGCAAAAGAAATATGCGGTATATAATTTTTCTAGATAATACATGTAAAATCGTAAATCATTAATCATCTCTTTCCATATATACATAAGTGCACATTCTAAGCAGATTTTTTTTTTTTGTTAAACGGCTTTCTTAAATAATATAAAGAGAAAGTATACAAAGAAAGAAAACGAAATTATTACAACCAGAAAGATAAGAAAGAGGACTAGCAGATAATGCTAGGAAGATTAAAGATTAAGAACAAAGGAAACCTGCAAAACGAAAAGAAAACAGAGCCCAAATCATGATTTAAATCTTAGTAAGACCAACACTGAAGAAGTGAAACCCCACGTTTTAAGCCCAACTGAAGCATTGCATTACACTTGTTATTCATGGTGGAAAAGATGCGTGTTGCTATTGTAACCGGAGAGAGGGATAGACCATCATGGAAGCGGCGATTTCTCTCCCGCCACAATTCAAAGATTGTGGCCTGCCAACCTTGAAGGAGAGCAAGATTTTGATGCTTAGATGCAGAAGCTGTTGGTAGCCAAAGAAGGATATGATCCCAGAGAAGCGGAGGGGACGATATCCGAAGCCGTTGTGTTACCAACCTCCAGACCTCAGCAGAAAAGATACATTCAAAAAACAAATGATTCCGTGATTCGTGGGCCAAACCGCACAGAAGACAGTCCAACTCAATATCAAAACCCCAAGTAGATAAACGGTCAAGAGTAGGATTACGATTGAGTATAAATAGCCAGGATGTGATAGCATGTCGTGGAATGACAGCTTTATGCCATACAAGAGGAGCCCAAGATTTAACTGGACGTGAAATCCTAACAGCATTCCATACAGCTTTAGAAGAGAAAGAGAAGTAAGGAATACCATCAATTTCCCAAACCGGAGTATCATTGGCTAATGACATGGAAATGGTAGAGATGAAAGAATGGAGAAGAACTTGTCTCTCTGTTCTAGCATGAGGAAGAGACCATCCATCTTCATTTCTTAGTTCAGCCACAGTTGAAAACAGAGGGATCCCTAAACGAGTAGGCCCATCTGATCCAAGAAAATGGTAAAGAGGACCGAAAGGAGTCCAAGGATCCCACCAAAAAAATGTAGAATCACCATTGCCAATATTGATGCTGAAAAATTTAAGGGCTTTCGGACGAAGCTTAAGTAATTTTCTAAAAATCCAAGAGTATGTAACATTTTTTTCATTGAGCGCCCACAAAGGAGATGTAGAAAGATACTTACTTCGTATCCATGCCACCCAAAAGGAACCGGCTCTAAAAAACAGCATCCAGAAAAGTTTTAAGGCACAAGTTTCATTCCAACTACCAATCTGCCTCAAACCAAGTCCTCCTTCTAATTTAGGAAAACATATGTTATACCAAGAAACTTTGGCACCTGAGGGAGAATCTACTTTTCCACGCCATAGAAATGCGCTACAAAGTCCATTGATCCTTTTAATAACCTGCTTAGGGATGAAGAAAGCAGAAGTCCAAAAACCGATAATTCCCGATATAACTGAGGAGATAAGAGTTAACCTTCCTGCCAAACTCAAAAACTTATGAGTCCAAGAGTTCAATTTCTTCCTTATTTGAGACAACAAAGGATCACAATCTCGAACCGAAAGCTTCCTGGAGCATAAAGGGAGGCCTAAATACCTGATTGGAAGTACGGATGGATTCAGATTGAAGGTGTTCTTTATCTGGGTCAAATTGTCCTCACTTAAGCCAGAACAAAACATGGAGGTTTTCTCAATGTTCATTCCCAATCCTGACAATTCCTCAAATTTAGCAAGGACTGACATAACTCCTCTCATAGAATGCTCGGATCCCTCTAAGAAGATTAATAAATCATCGGCAAAACATAGATGAGTAAGCTTAAGAGTCTCACAGCCAGGATGGTAAGTGAAAGACCCTTCTTCTGCAGCCTTGTTCAACATTAGAGATAGCACATTCATTATTAGAACAAACAGAATTGGGGATAATGGGTCTCCCTGACGCAAACCGGTCCTTCCTTTGAAAAAACCTGAAGTAACCCCATTTATACTAACACTGAAAGAGGGGTAACAAACACAAGCTTTGATCCAATTAATGAAAACAAGAGGAACTTGATAAGCCTGAAGAGCGATGAGAAGAAAGTCCCATCTGACGGAATCAAAAGCTTTTGATATGTCTACTTTGAGTGTGATTCGTTCCTTTCGTAAACCAAGATGATAACCTTGCATAACTTCTGAGGCCAGAAGCACATTCTCCATTAAGAGTCTATCTTTAACAAAGGCAGTTTGATTTGGAAGAATAAGACCAGGGAGTAGATTCTTTAACCTGTCCAATAAGAGGCGAGATATAATCTTGTAAACCGTATTAAGACAGGAGATAGGGCGAAAATCCTTCAATTCAACAGCCCCCGGACGTTTTGGTATGAGGACAAGAGATGTAGAATTTAAGCCCGACGGGATAAAAGAATCCCTAAAGAAGTGGAGTACTGCCGAAGTTAAATCCTGCCCAATAATAGACCAAGTAGTCTTGAAAAACTCTGCAGGAAATCCATCTGGTCCCGGAGTTTTATTTAGAGGCATTTTGAATAAACAAGATCTGATATCTTCACCAGAGAAAGGAGATGACAAGGATGATTGCTGCGCAATTGTACATTTTGCTTGAACTAAAGAAAAAAGGAGCAAAGGCAAATCAGGAGAGAAAATGCCCTTAACTGTACGCAAAATCCCAGCAAAGTGGTCTACAGCTAAATCGTGGACTTCATGAAGAGAAGAAGTGAGAGATCCATCCGGTTTGAGCAGGAACTTTATGGCGTTCCCTGCATTCCTTGCAACAGAGACTTTATGAAAGAAAGAAGTGTTAAAGTCACCTTCTTCTAACCACCTGAGACGAGACTTTTGTTTGAAGAAACTCTCCTCTGCAAGACTAAGAAGCAGCCACACTTCCTTTGCTGAAATTTCATTCTGAATATTGATAGGAGACGGGTCGTTCAGAGCTAACAATTGAAGACCATTAAGCTTGGAATGAGCCTCAATAACTCTCTTCTCTAGGTCACTAAAATTATCCTTCATCAACTCTTTTATAGGTCCTTTTAGCTGTTTCAGCTTGAAACAAAAGTCTTTAAGAGTAAATACTGAGACACCAACTCGAGACCAAGCCTCCATCACTAAATCCAGAAACTTCGGATGCTTTGCTAAAAAGGTGAAATATCTAAGCAGATTTTATGAAATTGAATCAATCAATCTCTTACAAGTATAACCACCGTACGTGTGTGCAAACTTCCCTACTAAAATTTTAGTTTTTAGTTCTATCTTGAGTCAAAAATATATTAAGATATTTTGTTAAAAGGTGGAGTTTAAGACCTAAAGAATCATATTAAATTTTGGTAGCGTAAATCAATATCTTCTTATGAACATCATCACACTCAAACCCACGTACAATAATATAAGTGACACATATTAAACCGATACTAATTATTTAGACCGATGTATACTGAACTTTCCAGGTTATTATCAAAATAAAATAAAAATTCCAAGTTTATTCATTTTAAGTTACTTCTGATGAATCATCACGTTTACGTATGCATATTTACGATGTTTATATATCTACTTTCCTAAATTTGTTTGGGATATATTGTATATACATATGAACTTACACATGTTGACATGAACTTGTGTAGTTGTGTGGTTGATAGGAATGCAAATCGGAACATATAATACTTTCTGTCGACGTCGGTTGGTTATATAAGAAACCTAATTATGGTTCTTTAATGTATATTACAGTGCTACCATTCTTACCCTACATTATTTGTTGTCCCTAAACATTTCCTTCTATTTTATAATTGACACGTAAATTAATGTTAATGTTAATGCTAATTAACCTCTGCATGTTCCGTAGATTTCATCATAAAACATGGTAACGACATGTTAAAACAAAGATTAACTAAATCAGTCATCAAGAAAGTTGCTTCTTATGTCTGCCATGCATGGGATGTATGAATCATGATGATGATGATAATTAATGGTTTTGATTTGACAAGACGAGAGTGTTGAAATGGCAGAAGCTATGATGACCTCATTCTCATTAGCAGTAGACAACGCTTCATGTCTCACTTCCATGTTTCTCTCTTTTTATCAACCTTAGCCAAGACAGTGGAAATATTCATATATGTACATAGGTATACAGCCAAATCACTCGAGAGAAAGCAGAGTTCAAGATTAAAAAATAGTATTTCTTAGTCGAGCAATTCTGTCCTTTTGATCAAACAGAAATTGATTTTTGTCTTAACTCAAACTCAGGTAAAATTTACATTGTAATCGCAAATCTGAATTATGATAATTTGGTTTATAACTCTAATTGTTAAAAGATGGTAGGAGATAGTAATAAATAGCAATTCAATAACTATTTGATTTGATGGTACTTTAATATAATAGATTTTTCTAGTAAGGTTAAAAACATATCTAGCTACCACCCTATCAAAAACCCTTTGTCGCATCTATTTAATGCCCTTTTGTTTTGTCTCTCGTTCCTATCCACTAGTTCGCTTTGCGTCTCGTATTTATCTCCCCACCACAAAACTCTCGGATGATAAAATTACGAGAAAATATTTATGTTGGAAATATATGCTGAATGCAATATCTCTGAGTAGATAGATATTAAGTACTCGAGTCTCAAGTCATTTCAAGCACTTTTTTGATAATTTACAAAACAAAAAATACAATTATATTTTAAAATAACTTACATGGAGGTCACAAAAGGTGTTTAAGCCAAATTTCCAAGTTAAGCTTTTCTTCAAATTTTAAAGTTTTATTTATTCTTTTGTTTTATTAATATAATATACAAATAAAACCTAATTTATTATGAATAGTTTGGTACGAATTTAGTTTTTGTTCATATTCTAGTTTCAATCAAATATATCATCTTAAGAAAATTAGGTTTCAGATTAGTTTTATTCTTTTTTTTAGTTCGGTTCTAGTTTAGATTTAGTCGGTTTTTTTAATTTTAAATCACGTAATCTAAATTATAGTTCGGTTTTCAGATTAATTATTTTAACTCGGTTTGGATCGGATTATATCGGTATAGTTTGATTGAACACTCTTGAACTAGTGACATATGGTGAATAAGTTTCGTATAACATGTACTATTTTTTTTTTTTTGTCAACATATAACATGTACTATATATTGTAGTAGACAAGCAAGATTCATGAGTCAATCAGAGGCGTATAAAGGGACAAGGTGCATAATCTCCGGGATCCGGACGAGCTAAGGCCTTAGCCTATGGCTCCGAATGGAGAAAGCGTATCGGGCGGAGCGGATCAAGCGGATCAAGCGTATCAAGCAGAACAAAAGCGGATCAAGCAGATCTAGCGGTACAACTGCGGATCAAGCGGTTCGAACGCTTTAAAAGATGTGTTGAATGGTGCAAGCGGATCAGGTAGTGGGTGAAATATTTATATTATAAAAAATATTAGTTTTATATAAAATATTACATAAACTATACATAATAAAAACAATTATATTAAAATAATTTGTAATATTGGTTTAACATATTTTTGAATATGTATTTAAAAAATATTTATAAATGCACTAAAATATTTAACCAAACAAATTTAGTTTATGTATTACTTTTTTATTTTTGAACATCTAATTATATTAATTCAAAGATTTTATATAATATAACAATATTATTAAGTGTTTTAGGTACAAAATAATAACAGAAAATAGTAATAAATATAACATATGTGGTACATTGAATTAATAAGAGTAATTACACTACATACCCTAAGACTGAGAAGTATTTAAGTCAAAGGAAAAGTGGCAAACCTGTAAATAAATGATCATTTGAAAACATTACAAAAAGACTAAAATACCCCTAAAATCAAACACTTCATTCTTTCTTCTTTCCTTCTTCTTTTCTCTTTCCTTTTATTATTTATTTTTTTCTTTTTTTTTTCTTTACTTTATGAAAACCCCAAACAAATGATTTTTCTTAATTGTGAAACTGATTGCATCTAAAATTATGATATTTTGAATTCAATAAACTCGTGCATTTTTCTGATTAAAATGTACTCCATAAACCTTAAAAAAAATTCGGTATAGAGACGTCGTATGTTTGGGTGTCATTCGTTATTATTGAGCTTCTGTTAGAGATGATTTGAGACACCGTCAACCGACGACGCTAAGAACAAATCTAGTGATGGTTAAGCATCTTTGTCTCTCAATTCATTTATCGTTATAGTCTCACCTATGTCATCGCCAATATTATTTCTATCCCGTTCACTATCACCATCTTCTCTTCAACCGCAATATATTCTTCATTCACATCACCATCACCTCCTCCGCCACTAACATACAATTCAACACAACCACTACAATGTTAAATTTACTTCACTCACCTATCACAACCACTACAATGTTCTATAGTGATATATCATATGTAAACAATATTAATAGAATATTACGATGTATTGATATATATTCATGTATCTGATAAAAAACAAGATATCACGACATTTAATTATGTAGTAGAATATATTATCGATGGAAGCATTTAATAAGTGGTGGCCCACTGTAAGTTCCATGACGCATATATCTTCTACAGAAAATTTCCGCTTTTAATTTGAGGGGCAATTTCGTCCGAATTTTACTAAACCAAAGTTTTCTCTCTCTTGTTTTGCAAAGAAAAAAACTTGTGTATGCCACACCTAATTATTTTTCAAATAATTAGCATGCAGCTAATTGACTCAATTAATAATCCATGACTTTTTTTTTAAAGTAATAGTCATGATAAATAACAAATAGGTACATCATATGTAGTGTATTAAATTAATAAGTTATAATAAATATAATATATGTGTGAATGCTATAAAGCCTTGTTTGAAAAATCGCTAGGCGCTAGTCGGGCGCTCGGCATGGGCCTAGCGATTAATCGGAAAATCGGATTAAAATCGGGGATTAATCGGGGATTAGTTTTAGGGTTATTTTAATATTTTTAAAACATATTAATCTAATATTATTTTCAAAATTGCAGTAAACACATAAAAATGTATTTTTGAGACAAATTTTTATGATTTTTATTTCAAATTTATGATTTTTATTAAAATTTGAACATAAGTTATTGTAAAACATTACAAACTCCCAATTCAAATGATTGAATAACAAAAATAAAAAGTTTTTTTTATACTAGTAATCTAAAAATAATCGGGGTATATAAGATTAGGCGGGGAATAATCGGATTATGCGGGAAGTAATCGGATTAGGCGGAGAGTAATCGGGTGACTGATTTCTTTAAGGGATTAGTCATTAATCGAGGCGGATAGAGTGGGCCTAGCGATTAAGCGGGGAGTAATCGTGTCTAGGCGGGGATTTTTAGAACAAGGCTATAAAGTAAATAATTATGTGAAAATATTGATAAGCGGAGCAAATACACCACAAATGTAGCGTATCTACTGTATAAGGTGGATCAAAAATTTCCTTCACAAATTCTGCCCACTTTAACTGTAGCTCTTCAAAATATTAGTTTTTTATTTAACTTTTTTAAAAATCACTTGATTAATAAACAAGCGTGAATGGTAACACAAGAAGCGTTACGACCGCTCCGTCCAAAAACCACTCTTGAACCGCCGCTCCATTCACACCCATAGTGTCGGAATCTGCTCTCACCATAAATATTACATTTAACTAAATTAATTACCGGCTTTTTTGTAAAAATAATTTTAAATAACATTAGCATACTTTATCGCACATAAACACGTGCTAGACTTTATTACACATGAATATTGTCTCCTTTCTTTTGTATATATAAGCATAAAATAGATTGTAAAAAAAATGTTTAAATTACTTATATATAACTAGAAAATTTCAGGCAAATTATGTATTGAAGCAAGTATGTAAAAATATTTCAGGTAACTAATTATATAGGGATTGTTTTTTTTTTTTTGGACAAACTAATTATATAGGGATTTTTTGTCAGTTAAAACATATAAATCGGTTAACTAGAGGTAGTTAGTGAGTATTCTTAAATGAAATTACTAGATTTTTGATATAAATCCACATGAAAATCTTTACCATTTAAATTTACCATTAAACAAGTATTTGTTGATATAGTAGTCAAATGATTTTGAAAAATCATTATGGAGTTAAAATACCTTAGTCTAAAACATTAAATAATTGTGATAAATATAGGTGGTTTATATTAGTATTGTACTTTTGATATCATCATTTCGAGAACGCGGTTGAAATGGTTCCAACGATTTTTATGGCGTTTTCATATTTAAACTTCATAACGATTTTTATGGCGTTTTCATATTTAAACTTCATAACGATTTTTATGGCGTTTTCATATTTTTATGAAATTATCTAACTGATATGTGGGAGTGATTGACATAGGCTTTTAAGACTTTAAAAGTTTTTAAAAGTCTTCAAATTTCTTTTTTCCCGATCAAACTGTTTTGACTTTAATAAGTTTTAAAGTTTTCACAGTCCTTTTTTTTTTAACTCTTTGCTTTCAATTTTTTTTTAAAATCAAGTAGTCATGACTATAAAAATAAATAAAACAAAAGTTTATAGTTCTTCTCTTTTCTTCTTTCCCATATGACTATAAACTTTCGTAACATTCACTCATAAATTAATTTAAAACAATTTCAGTTGATTTACAATTGAATTTTTTTTTTAGTTCTTTTAAGGTCTATTTTCTCACATATTTGGTAGTTATTTAAAATTGTAATTTCTACAGTCAAATTATTTACCAATCGGTTATAAAACGTATACATTCCAAAACTTTACAAAAACAATTCTTACAATCAAAGTTTATACCGCCAAAAGTAACAGTCGTTAATTACCGGCCCGTGATCTCTCAAATGTATTGATATCTCATATGTATTACTCAGTTTTTTTTTTTTTTTTTTTAATACTCAATTTTTTAAAACTTCCATAAAAACTTGGGTTGCTCTCAAATTGACTTATACGACAATAATCAGTCAATCCAGAACTAAACTTCCACATCTATTACATTTCATCTGTTTTCTAACTAGTTTCACGACTTTTTTCAAATTTAAACGGGGAAAAAAAGAAAGATAATTGCATCGATCGACGATATCTCATGCATAAGTCAGCCCGACCGTAACCTAAACCAACTTCATTGTTTGATTGGACATAACCTTAGCAACTAATCTCGTTACGTTTCTCCTATACACGACAACACGATTTTGTCTCTCCCCCTCGCCGCTTTGTCCCCCTCCAACATTCACAGCTGGACCTCATTTTCACAACTAAGAGACATATCAGGGGCATTTTAGTTATTTCAACATAGTCTTCTTCTAATTAAGTGAGTAACTAAAAAAACTTTGGGTCTTGGCTTGAGTGGTCTTGGCCTCCTCCTCGTTATGATATGCTGAATAAATTAATTAAGGTATAACAAGATTAGGGTTTAGAACTAATTACATTCTTAAGTCAATTTATAGGTTATAGATCAACATAGATTACTCTCGTGTGTATAATATTATAGTACATATTATAATCAAAGTGTTGGCATAATTAATACCTTCTACTTTGTAATCAAATTCTTTTATCGTCAATTTTTGAAGATCTGATTGTAAGATATTCATGTATTGACAAAATAAAGATAACGAAATATATTTATAAAATTAAGCTAATAAATGTTTTCTTTTTAACTTTAAATTATACATTTATAGCTCTAAAACAAAATATAGTTTTTTATAGTATATTTGTGGTTGGAGCCTTTATGTCTTGGACCAAGACTCTTGGTATATATCGGCTGAGTTCTTGAATATCTTTCATATATATATTCCATCTGTTTCTAAATATATAACGTTTTAGAAGAAGAAACAAATTCAAATTAAGTGGTATCCTCACTTTTCTATACAAATTTTATTAAAAAAAAATAATTTTTTTTACTATTTATATTTTGTAGTTTTTTATTATTGATTGAATTTTGTTTAAGTAAATAATAAATGATATACATCAAGTATTTTAAAATAGAGGGAGTGATAATGAATTTTCAATTGATATAAAAATATTTTAGTTGTGTGTGAAAATGAAAATGGAAAACACAAGATGGAAGCTTGAAATTTTTCGATGACTTCTCTAGTATAGTGTGTGTAATTCG